TCTTCTTAGCTATTTCAAATTGTCGGATGTTACAATGCCCTTAGACAATGACGTCGTGCAGAAGCAAGAAATATCCCTGGAGTGCATGAAAAGGTGTATGAATCTCTGAGGCTAAGCTATGATCACTTGGGAGAAAATGAAGCAAAGTACCTCTTTTTTCTTTGTTCTTTATTTGAGGGAGATAGTAATATTTGGACCGAAGAATTGCATTTATTTGGAATGGGGCTTGGCATCTTTTCGGGAATTGAAAATTTAGAAGATGCAAGAAATAGGTTGTGTCTTCTGTTAGAAATATTGAAAGATGGTTTCTTGTTATCCCAAGGTTCAGACAAAAATCATGTGAAAATGCATGATGTGGTCCGTGATGTGGCTATAAGTATTGCGTCTGAAGGAGAGCATAACTTTATGGTAAGTCACAATGTTAAACTCGGAACAGTTCCCAAGTAGAACTTCTTAATGAGCATTTCAGTCACATGTCAATTGTTGCAAATAAATTTGATATGCATCCTAGACCAATAATTTGCACAAAACTGAAGCTTTTAATGTTGAAACTCCGTTTTAAAGATCCATTCAAACTACAGGACAATTTTTTTGATGAAATGAGTAACCTCAATGTCTTGAGCCTGAGGGGACACAGCTATGAGCAGTCCATTATACGTTTTCCAGCATCCATTCGGAGTTTGTCAAGTTTGAGGACTCTGTGTCTGAGTAATTTAAGGTTGGATGACATATCCTTCATTGGGGAACTTGTCGAATTAAAAATTCTCAGCATAAGAGATTGTGAGTTAGATGAGCTGCCAGAGGAGATAGGAAAATTGACCAAGCTAATTAGGTTAGAGTTTTGGAATGAGTGTATAACACTTAAAAGGATTTCAGCAGGGGTGATAGGAAAACTAGCTCAATTGGAGGAACTACATATTGTGGAAGTAGAAGATTTGAGTGATGTGATGTACAGTAACCTTGGCCTTCCCTCCAAGTTGACACGGTACACTCTTGAAATGTGTTATTGGAATTCAAGATTTGATGAATACGACAAGATTATTGCTTTAAAGGTCACGGAGACCAGACCATTGGGTGATTGGATCTGCCACCTGTTGAAGGAGAGTGAATTTGTAGAGTCAAGGGGAAAGGGCTCTAATAATGTGTTGACTGAGTTGCAGCTGAATGAATTTCAGAACGTGAAATGTCTCCACCTCTCTGAATGTGATTTAATGACACATTTATTGAAGAGGACACATGAAGTAATCAAGTTCCCCAATTTATATGAGTTGCGCATTCAAGTTATGCATTGCCTGACTCACTTTTGCAGTGACAATGTTGAGCGCATTGAGTTCCCTCTGTTACGGAAAATGTTCTTCTATGGGTTACCTGAGTTCCAGAATTTCAGGCTTACAGCCAACAACTCAAATCCTCTTTTTGATGAAAAGGTTTGCTTCTTATCACAAAAATGTTACCTTTTACTTGAGCATTAAAGATATTTACTTAAACAAAGTCTATTGCTCAGATATATCCTTTTCGTCTAACTAGTAAAAAAATAATTTTAAATTAATTTTTTTAATTTGTTATTTAAAAAATCCATATAAGGCTATATTTGATATGATTTTTGTGACTTTTTTTATTCAACGGTTAATTTAAATATCTCCCTTATAAATATATTAACTTATCATTATTTGAGTTTCATATTCTCATTTAATTTTTTTAGTGTGAAAATAAATAGATATGGAAAAGGAAAAAAAAGGAAGAACAAATTTTAAGACTATTTTTTTTTTTTTTGCAGCTATATTGTAATTTATTTTTTGAAAAAAGGTCAATAATGCCTTACTTACCTAAAATGATCAAAATGCCCTCAATTTATAGTTAGTCCAAAAATGTTCTTGCCCTCACTACTTTAGTAAGAAAATGTTCTTGCCGTTGATTAGTTTGTTCTGGAAATGTTCCTATTGTTACTACTTGAGTCAAACATATTTCTTTCCACATAAATATATTATTTCTTTTTCTTTTTGAACAAATCTTATTCCTATTAAAAGATATTAGTTTTAAAGTACTCTATTATTGTTTTCTTTATTTTAAAATTACTTTAACTATTAAAAAATGTACCTTATATATATATATATATATATATATATATATATATATATATATATATATATATATATATATATATATATATATATATATATATATATATATATATATATATATATATATATATATATATATATATATATATATATATATATATATATATATATATATATATATATATATATATATATATATATATATATATATATATATATATATATATATATATATATATATATATATATATATATATATATATATATATATATATATATATATATATATATATATATATATATATATATATATATATATATATATATATATATATATATATATATATATATATATATATATATATATATATATATATATATATATATATATATATATATATATATATATATATATATATATATATATATATATATATATATATATATATATATATATATATATATATATATATATATATATATATATATATATATATATATATATATATATATATATATATATATATATATATATATATATATATATATATATATATATATATGGCTTTTTTAAAAATATATAAATAAATGTGTGTAAGCACTTTTGGCTTCTCCACTCAATAGCTCCGACGGTATCTGGAACAATGTTTGATACTTCAAAGCTCTCAGGTTTCTTGTCCCAACCTGGAAGAGCTAACAATCTGGAAACTTGAAAGCATAAGTGCTCTATGCTCTCACCAACTTCCAACTGACTACTTCACCAAACTTCAAACATTGGATGCAATGAATTGTGGAAAATTGAGAAACTTGATGTCTCCATCAGTGGTCAAAGGTCTTCTGAATCTCAAGAAACTACATATTGAAGACTGTGAATCAATGGAAGAAGGGATCACAAAAGGAGAAGGAATCATGACCTTATTTCCCCGATTGCAAGAGCTGAAGCTTCGGAATCTGCCTAAGCTGGGGCATTTCTATTTGACAGAGCATGCTCTTGAATTTCCATTTCTCAAGGAAGTGATTATTATTGAGTGCCCTGAAATGAAGACGTTTGTCCAACAGGGAATAGTTGTGAGTACACTGATTCTCAAATGTGATGATGAGGTGAAAGTAGATGATCTAAATAAATGGATACAAGAGAGGTCAAATCCTCTTTTTGATGAAAAGGTTTGCTTCTTATCACCAATCTGTTTCCTTTTACTTGAGCATTAAAGATGTTTACTTAAACAAAGTCTATTGCTTAGATATATCCTTTTTGTCTAACAAGTGAAAAAATAATTTTAAAATTATTTTTTAATTTGTTATTTAAAAAATCCATATAGGGCTATATTGATGTAAATATTTGTGACTTCTTTTATTCAACGGTTAATTTAAATATCTCCCTTATAAATATATTAACTTATCATTATTTGAGTTTCATATTCTTATTTCATTTTCTTAGTGTGAAAATAAATAAATAGATATGGAAAAGAGAAAAAAGTAAGAACAAATTTTAAGACTATTTCTTTTGCAGCTATATTGTAATTTATTTTTTGAAAAAAGGTCAATAATGCCTTAAATTACGTGAAACGATAAAAAAATGCCCTCAATTTATAGTTTAGTTCAAAAATGTTCTTGCCCTCAATACTTTTGGTCCTAAAATATTTTTGTCGTTGATAGTTTGTTTTGGAATTATTCCTATTGTTACTACTTGAGTCAAAAATATTTCTTTCCGCATCAATATACTATTTCTTTTCTTTTTGAAGAAATCTTACTCCTATTAAAAGATATTACTTTTAGAGTACTCTATTATTGTTTATTTTATTTTAAAATTACTTTAATTATTAAAAAATGTACCCTTTAAACGGATAAGATATTTGTTATATATAAGATCATAGTAAATCAACCATTACTCTTTTATATATTTATAATAAAATAAGAAATATTTTAATATTATTTTTTTTGAATTGAAGTAGGATAAACATTTGCTAATAAAAAAATATCATTTGGAAAAGAATGTGTTTAAAAAATGATACTATATTTATTTGAAAAATGACATTTTTGACTTATTAATTAACAATAAATGCATTTTAGACCATTTTATCATTTATTTTTTATATTTACAGAAAAATGGGGCATTTATGATAATTTTTACAAGCAGATGAGTGAAACTCAAAATTATTCATTGAATTAGGGGGAAATGGGCAATATACTACTCAACTTTGCAATTTCGAGCAAATATACCTCTTGTTGATAAAATTGATGCATATATACCTCTACCGTCTAATATATGGTGCACAATTATCATTTTCGTTAATAAATTTATATTTATTTAATTAAAAAATATATAATAGTGATTTTTTAATTTCAAAAATGTCATGGCTTTCAAAAATTATCTCACCCATTTTTTACCCCTCTAGACCTAGCCCGAATGGGAAAAAAAACACAAATGTATTTGAGA